GGGTGCCCGCCTCTTGCGGTCCCGGGCAAGCTCCCGGGAGCCACCAGCCTGGTCCCGGGAAGAGGGGGAGGGCTGGGGGGCATCGGGTGGGTGGCTCGAGCCGTGCCAGGGGCAGGGTCTGCTAGCTGGGTGCTGGCAGGCTTGCACCTGGCACGGGCACCGTGCCCCTTTAAGAGGTCCGGGGCCGGGAGGGGGGCAATAGAGTTTCCCTGGTGTTGGCCAGAGTAGCCACCAGGGAAAGCTGGGGAGGGCTAGCCTCCCATTAGTTCGAATTAAGGGGCTACATACCCCTTAATTCGAACTAGTAAGTTCGAACTAGGCTTAGTCCTCGTAGAATGAGGTTTACCTAGTTCGAACTAAGCGCTCCGCTAGTTCGAATTAAGTTCGAACTAGCGGAGCGCTAGTGTAGCGCCTATCAAATTTAATTCGAACTAACGTCCATTAGTTCGAATTAACTTTGTAGTGTAGACATACCCCCTCGTGCACAAGAGCTCCTGCGCAAGAGGCCTTACACCTGATAAAAAAGAGTGTAACTCTTGCACAAGGAATCCTCTCTTACCACGCTGTACTGTACATTTCCTTGCGCAAGAGCGAGCGGGCAGTGTGGACGCACTGCAGATCATTGCGCAAGAACGGCCGTACGTATGCAAGAAGCCGCGAGTGTAGATATAGCCTTACAGTCTATTAATTCAGCTGCCTGTAGAGTTTTCATGGTGGAGGCTTCTGTAGGGTTAGGGAGAGCATGCAAATGAAGGGAGTGCTCCTTCCTTCCATTCTTCTCTCATGGCCAATCCCTGTCCCCCTGAACTGCAATCCACAGGTTTGGGTTCTCCGTTCACAGAGTACAAGAGTAGTAAGTGAGTCTTATCCACTGAGAGTGTTCATCAGACTGATCTTCTCAGCATCTACAGAGAAAAATATCTAGACCAGATTCTCTGCAAATGAACACGACTTGGCTCAGAACATGGCAGTCTGCTTTAACCTAAGCCACTGATACAAGGTTCTTTCCCCACTTCCAGCATGCCCACTGCCTCCCAGCCATACTTCTTATAGGAGGGTAGGCTGGAGCTGGACAGGAAGCACAGAAGCCTGCCCTGCTAGCTTTATGCCTGCAAGGAGTCCACCTCTTACTGTAGTAGGGTCACCAATGCAGTAAGTTAGGATTTACTGTCATGGTGTCCTGACAGGTTTCCTGCTCTGTCGATAACCAGAAGGCTGCATGCATGTGCGCTTAATTATGTGTGTTGTATTGACTTGCATAATTATTCAACACAGCAGACTTTGAGAGTGCCCCCAAAGACCACAAATCATATAAGGATTGAAGGTGCCCAGCTCGGTATATTGTTAAGCAAAATACAGTAATAGTTGTCAGTAGACTCTATGGAACTGTTACATATATGTACCTGTAACAATGGACTCAGCTCAGTCAGTGGGAAGTCCCACTGCCCCCTCAGCTGGATAAAAACTGCCCCTCCAAGATACCACTTTATTACAGGTATAAACAAGTTATAAGTCACTCCTGATGTTGTCAGGTTACCATCCTCTGAAATTACTTAGATACCACCCTGAACCTTGTAGTTTGATTAGAACATCTCTATTCATCATGCTGTCATTTTAGACCCTTTGCTGAACCTGGGTTGGAATCTGTGAAGAGGGTGGGTACCAAGTGGTACAATCCTCTTAAAATGTGTTTTCAACTTATGACTAATTACTGTTTTGCACCTGGGACTATTACCAATTAGTGTTTTACACTCTGGGCCCTGTTCATGCCAAGTTCTGTGAGCAAGGGCCGGCCTCTTGCTCACAGCTTAGTTTTGCTTTATATTAACCAAGTTTTGTCCGTTGCTAGCTAGGCCTCGGGCCAGGCCTGTGCTACATGGGTTTTTGTTTCAGGCTCTCTTCTTACTACACTAAACTGAGGCAATCTCTGCTGGACACATTCAGCCAGATTTCAGACCCTTTGCGCTACTCGAGGGGCCCTAAGGAGATGGATTATACTGGAGCATTTGGGCCATTAATTTTAAGAACGGCTCTGCATCTCCACTTTCTTCTTGGTTGGTGGGCTTTATGGAATAAAAACTGTTTTAAGATATGCCCTGGTCCAGTGGCTGCTTTGCATGAAGAGGAACGGTTCCAAGGGTTAGCATCTTGCTGATTTGTATTGGATCCAAAGACCCAGTGTGGAAATGATTTGATGAAAGTTGTCATTGTGAGTCAGTGGTTTTTCTTCTCTACTCTTTTTATCACCAACATATCTAAGGTGCATGCTCTGTCGACAGAAGATGTTATGCCTCGTAAAATGAGGTTTACCAGCGTCGACAAAACTGCTGAGTTCTGTCAACGTTATGTCGACAGAACACAGCAGTAGTGTAGACGCAGGTATAGTTTTGTCTACAAAAGTCCACTTTTGTCGACAAAACTCAGTAGTCTAGACACACCCCTAGAGACTAACAAAAATGTAGATGGTATCATGAGCTTTTGTAGGCACAACCCACTTCTTCCGATGAACGGAAGGGTCCAGGTTCCAAATAAATAGCAGAGAAAGAGAGGGGATGGGGAGGGAATTGAAAGCAGAAAAAAATGGGAAAGGAATAGTCAGAGTGTCTGTGCTAAATGAAGGTGACAGAGTGAGTTCTAAGTACTCTTAAGTACCTGGTGTTTGGCTTTTTATGTCATTAGGATGTGGAATGTAGTGTAGTGGGTAATTCAGTTAAGTTTAAACCTCTATTGTAGGTATCAGACTTGTAAATGAAAATAATTTCTGCAGCTTCTCTTTCAAGATGGTTTTTGAAATTGGTTTGTAATAATATGGAAACTTTGCCAGCCATTAACGAGTGCCCAGGCAAGTTAAAATGTTTCCTAACAGGTTTCTAAGTGTTACCTTTTTGAATATCTGATTTGTGTCCATTAATCCTTTGTCCCAGATACTGTCCAGGTTGGCCAATAAACATGGCAAAAGGGCGTTGCTAGCACTTGATAGCACAGATCACATTGGTGGATGTGCAGTTATATTGAGCTACTGATGTGGTGACTTATGTGGTTAGGCCCTGTGATGATGTCATTGGATAGATGTGTGGACAGAGTTGGCATCGGAG